TGCTTCTGTTTTCTGTCTCTGCTGCCAAATACTTTGAAAGTGTTGGAATAAATAAAACTCTCTCCTACCGTCTTGGTAGTGTTAGAAAGGAAGGCATTACTTTCTTTCTGGCCCAAGGTGTGTGTGTGAAAGACTGAAAGAATCCCAGTCCCCCACAGGCACCAATAATATCTTTCACCTGCTTTTATCTTTTAGAAAGCAAAGAGATAATTGGTCATTGGTTCTAAAATACAAAATTCTCTTTTCTGAGTTCCTATTCTACCTTCTTTTGGCTATTAATTTCTCCTTTTCTATAACAATTAGTCCATATCTGTAGTCTTTTTAGTGTCTTTTGCCCTCTGGTGGGTTTTTTCAAGCTCAAATACTAAGCCTTTTTTCTTATTATTATTTGTTTGGGTTTTTTTATAAATGTCCTTCCAGATGTCCAAGTTCAACAATATATTTTTCTTTCCTAGGCTTTGCTCATTGAAGCATATCAAGGTCAGTTTAGCAAAAGTTCTTACTTTTGCTAAGTAGAACTTAGAAATTTATAAGAATCTACGTTCTTAAAAAAGTAGCTGCCTTAGAGTAATTTGAGGCTTAATACAGCTTATGGTTAATTAAAACAAGGAATTAAAAGTTTTAACTGCAACCACTGAAAATTAGAAAAGCTATATCCTTTCCAGCACTGCTAGTAACTGTTTTGTCCAGTTCTGCAAAAGGAAGGTGTTCCTGCAATAGTCATTTTCCAGAGGTTTTCCTGTAGTATGTATGGGACATGTAAAATCCTGTTGTGATGCTCCATAAGGATGTTCTCATATTCTATTCCCGAATACAGAAGATCACAGATGTTCAATGTGGCTGGCTAAATATGCTGGAAGGGTGGGTCATATAAGTGATACTTTAGTAAGCACAAGATATTGTTATTAAAAAAAAAAAAAGAAAAGCAGGAGGGATTTCCTTTTTGTCTCAGTTTCATTTTGTACTGTTTTCTTTCTCATTTTCTCTGCTGAAGCTAAAGAAAAGAAATTGCATGGACATAGGAAGAGGAGGTGTCTGTCAGAGCAGAGCTCTGCCCCATCCCAGGCACAAGGAAAAACTGCCAGGTTTGTTTTGCATGAACACCTGACTGGCCTAAGGTTAGCAAGTTCTCTTTTGCAAAAACCATTTCATAAGTTGCTCCACATTTCTGTCTTTGTTTTTTTTTATTCCCCAGGTTGGCATAAAAACAAGGTTATGGTTGCTTTCAGTCTCTCTGAGGCGAGTTTCACTTCTAGGATACTCTTTCATCAATGTACTGAATATCTCAATTTCCACAACCCTTTCTCATTAGGAATCAGAAGGAAACTCCCTCTCATCAGAAAACGGAGAATTAAATTGGAAATCATAACAGTGTGGGTTAACTTTATGGGTTTTTTTAATTGAAAATCTTTTAACAAGAGATTACAATGTTCTAAGTTTTATAATATGCATGATATGTTTTAGCTATCTCCTTTTAATGCAAAACCACAAAATACTGACTAAATGCAAACATGGTGTTTATGTCCCTCAGCTGTTGTTACTGGCAGTGTCTGAATTTCCTTATTAAGTCTCCTGTGCCTTTATTTGGCTTTTTGAACCATTCCTTACTGCTCTCTGAGTGGGACACTGGGATATATGGCCTCACAGCTGCAGGGTTATGTTGGGATCTGACCCAGAATGGGTGACATGTGGTTATGTAAAAGATGCAAAAAATAATCCTTCTGAGATGGAAATGGAGCAGAGCAGCCCCTCGACACCCCTGTCACCATCCCTTTATCTG